TTTTGGATTTTCAAAATATAAGCCCTTAGTGTTATACAGGAAGTTATTTTATTGACCACAGGTATGTGTTGATTTTCAAAATAAAAGCAATGGGACAGTCATTATAAGAATTTCACAGGATTGTCCCTTTTTCATAAAGGCCTCTGCTTATTGGTTGATGCTGTGAAATGTTCAGTATAAGCCACTGTCAGCAATGTGTGCTACTCAGTCCTTCGTAGAGTCCTCCGTCACTCTTTATGAACTGCAGTCAGCTGGAAGATGTTGCATCATGTTTTTTATTGTTGCACAGGTTTTACCCAAATTCATGCTTTACTGGTATTACATTTAGCAATGACTGTACTGTTTAAACAGTTATAAGGTTATATGTCCTTGTTTTATTTATTATGTTTTAATTCGTTTTCAAAACTTTGCATGCTGTTTTTTTCGCATCACAAATTCAGAAGTGGTGTTCTGGAAGTTATGGTGAGAAAACATGCAAAAATATGCCAATATTAATGTAAGCCACTAGGGTGTGATGTGTTCTGTAAACACAGGCTGGTGAAAGCGGCTCACCGCTGATGCCGTCTGTCAGTGAAACTGATTTATGGCTCAGTCGTGTTATGAAGATTCATTTGTAAACGGTCCCATCTGTCACTCAGGGAGTCCATCAACAGCCTGAAGAGGAAGTACTCTCAGTCATCAGAGCCCACTGACAGTGATGCTGCCATAGAGAGGACGCTCAATGAGGTGGCAAAGGAGGGTTGTCAGTTCCTGTTAGATGAAGTTTTCCTTGATCTTGAGGTAAAAAAACAAAGTATATTTTTAATAATACTATAGTTACTACATGTTTATATCTTGTTTGTTGTATTTCTAGTTTCATTTTCTATAAAACAAAACTCCGGTCTGATATTGTAATCAGATTTTTATTAAATATATTATAAAAGGATGCCAGTCGTGTTCATTGCACGGAGCCTGAAAGTAGTGTTTGACTGTTTGGGTGGTCCAGAAAACACGCCTGTCACGTTCAGTCCACGGCTTTCAGAGGAAGTACTTTCTCTAGTCTTGCAGCAAAGCATTTAGCTACTATTTTGGTGTCCACTTCAAAGGAATATAGGTGTTTATAATCACATTTAAATCCATTATATATTTCCTGTTGATCAATAAGAGACAAATGAATCTGCTGTATGTTAGGTGTTGTTGCTTCGAGGGTCTTTGAGCGAGTAAATGAGCAGCCTGCTCTCCTTGCTCACACATTGTAACAATAACAACACAAAAACTTTACAGATTTATCAGCTGAAAGTGAGTCGAGGGTGCAGTTGAGTTCCTGTGAAACAGCTGGTGCAGCTGTTTCACAGGAACTTGTGAAGCCTCTTAAACTGAGGATTTGTTTTAGCATTACGAATGAATGATAAGAATTTCCTCTGATGTTTATATACTGATTACAAATTGTTCTCTCATTGCATTTTCCAGAGTCACTTGAACGAACTGCTGACCAGGAAGTGGCTGACAGGCTCTCATGCTGTGGATACCATCTGTGTGACGGTGGAGGACTATTTCAATGACTTCAACAAGATTAAGAAACCTTTCAATCAGGTAGAAGTTTTGCAAACAGCCGTAGAGTCCAGTGAAATTGAATAACGATGTTTTCAGCATGTAGGTCTGAGCTGTTTGCGTAGCTTCCACAGCTGTAGTGTAATTCTACTCTGAGGACTAACCTGCTCTATGTGCTGTGTGCAGGAGATGACGAGTGAGGCCCTGCGCAGGGTGGTAGTCGAGTACATTAAAGCAGTGATGCAAAAGAGGATCACTTTTAAAAACCCTGACGAGAGAAAGGAGGGAGCTGAAAGGATGATGAAGGAAGCTGATCAGTTCAAGTTCCTCTTTAGAAAATTGGCTGCGGTAAGTTCACACGTGTGCAGTGCTCTTTGGTATGGAAATATGTGGACAGTGTGTGCTTCTTCTCTCATTTTGATAATTACGGCTTGTAGCTCATGAAAATCAAAAATCCAGGATCTCGAGTGACTACAATGATTCAGATTAATCAAAACAATGAACTACAATAATGTCTGACTTCCTAAAATATATTTCAAATGTATATTCATTTAACATAATACCTCATTCATTCTTATATTGACCTAAATGAGCTCAGATTCGACTCTTTCAAGTTTTGTTTTCGTGTGGATTTTCTACCCTAACTCTAATTGATGTACTGTGAAGAGTTTAACAGCCAAGCAGATGATACACACGATCCTCACACAGCAGCACATGAAAATATTCTTGGTTCTCTTTTGTTTTTTAACCATGTAGGGTGAGGACACGGACTGGCTTTGTGGTGCCATCACTGCTATTGCAGAAGTGTTCAAGCTGACTGACCCCACATTGCTGTTCCTGGAGGTCTCCACGCTGGTGTCTAAATATCCTGATATCAGGTACACAGACACATGCTAACGCTGGTTAGCATTCCAGCTGTTGCCAGCATCATTCCCATATTTTCAGCATGGTACTTTAGACATATACAAGAACTGAAATGATGGGATCGTTTTTTATATGGCACATTTACACTAAACATTTTTTCTCTCACATTGCTGCTTTCATGGTCATTTGAGGAAATAGCATAAGCTTTAATTGCAGTAGTTACCCTGAAAAAACCTACACAAATAGTGTCACCAGTCAGATCTGAGTTTGAATAAAAGACATTAGGTTGCTTTTCCTTAAAATAAGGTTTTTACCCACCACAATACATTTCTACTGTAGCTGCACAGTGTCACATGACATTCGTGGCCAAGGAGTGGCTGACAATAATTAACAGTTAAAAAAAAAGCTGTGAAGTCTGCTAGTAAAATGAAACAGGACAGTTTGCACAGAGAGTACTTCCTGCTGTCAGAGACTGATATAGATGTAACGCTGGATTTATCTGGAAGTATTGAACGTGTCATCAAAGTACTTATTGTTAGGTGTGTGTTTAGTGTAGGAGTAATGCAACATACTCACATAGTATTTATTCGTTTTTAAGCTTAACCAACACTTTATTCTATATATCTACCTCACATCCATGCATGCCTTTAGACTGAGGGAGGATGTAGTCAGAGGAAACCACACGTTCACAGGGAGAACATAGAAAGGCCCCAGCCAGGGTTCAAGACACTTTTGCTGCGACAGTGCAGCCATTAGACCACCACGAGTGATGACCCAAACACGGGCTGCAGGAAACAGACTTAAAAGAAAGACTCCGTGGCAGTTATAGGGAACCACAATGGAGATCCAGAACTGGTGCTGGGAACCAGGGCAAAGAAATCAAGCAGCTTCTAACAAACTTAGAGTGGATTAAATATTCAAGGTATAGTTTTTTCATTTGATACATTTTAGTTATCAGTTTTATTGTTCCCAATGCTGTGTGTTTACTGATTTGGAGCTTTAAGTGCACATTAAGCACTAAGTGTATAAAGCTCATTTACTGAGCCCTGCTCTCCAAACCTGACAGAGCTGTAACAGTGTCTGTGTAGCTGGATTTAAGAAGTGCTTACATTTCTGAGTGTTTGGCGCCATCTTCTGTCAGTACACAAGGTTACATCACCAGGTTTAAAACAAACTTTAAGCATTTGTTTCTTAAACCCAGCTTCACAGACAGAATCACATCTTTGAGAGCAGAGCTCCATGGTGTAAGTTCGCCTTTGTACATGTAGTGCTTCATGTCCACTTTGAAATGCTTCTGGTTAAAGTGCTCTTTGGAAGGAAGACATACAAAGTTAAAACATGAACTGATTAATATTCCACTCTGACTCCAGGTGGGAACTTGCTCCTGACGTCGCAGCGTTAGAAACGAGAGTTTTTCATGCAATCTGTTTACACATCTTGATGAGGGCGTGCACGCTGAATCGTGTTGGTGTTCTTTCTGTTAAACATGACCGTGCCATGAGAAAAAAGCATTTCAGACTTAGTTTAAAAAGAGAGTGCCTCAACTAATGTTGAAGTGTGCCTGATCACCGAGTGAGCCGTGACAGTGCTACCAAGGCCATCAACACCACGCGGAATACAGCATGTGTCTATAATGAGTTTGCCTATACGTGGCTGAGGTTGTTTGTCCCTCCGGCTCTCTGTAGGGAGGAGCACATCCAGGCGCTGCTTGCTGTGCGTGGTGATGCCAGCAGGGAGATGCGGCAGATGATCATCGGAACGCTCAGCGAGAATAAAGTGTCACATTCTGGTGTCACACAGTCCATTTTTAAAGACGTCGCTGTGCCCACCATTGCCATGACGACCATGACTACAATGACCTCCATGGCAACCTCAAAGCTGCTAAAATAAAGCCTATTTCCATGTCCAGCTCCTTCGGTCACACTAGCATAACAAAGGATACTTTATTTTTCACTGGTTCTTGCAGCCTGTTTTCTGTATTCACTCATTTTGTTCCTTCTTTCCTGATCACATGCCTGCTTAAACAAATCCAATTTGTATTGTATAAATGGACTGCATCACAAGACTTTGTCCTCTCCTTTTACTGAACTTCCCTGTGTTACTCTGTTTCTTGTCAGTCATGTTTCTGTACCTTAGCTGTCCCCTGACTTGTGTACAGCATTCAGTTAACTTAGTTTCATTTTTAATAGCCGATACTTCAAATTACCTGTATGGACTGAGCATGAAAAGAAATGGAACAAAAGCAGGATACCTTAAGAGAAAAATAACTCAAGAGGCCGTGGTATTCAAGTGTTTGTTTTTTAATATATTTCATAGAAAGTTCACATGAAAAACACCTGGATCAAAAAGTTCTGGTAACCACCAGAAGCTAGAACCAACCAGACAAAGGCTCCAGAGAATCAGCTGATGCTCTCCTAGTGTAATTCATTCACTGTCGTATTTCGGCCGGACCCCATCCTAGATGTTGTGGGACAAGAGGTGGGGTTCACCATGGACAGGTCACCAATCTGTTGCTGAGAGACAACTGTGCACACCTACAGCCAATGAACCTGGCATGCATGTCTTTGTGGCGTGCGTGTTCAAGAAGTTTCTGTATCCAGGTTCTGTACAGTGCTGGTGTTAGACACGGAACATGCTGTGAATACTGACAGTGGGGAAAAGTATACGACAGACGAATTCCCATACGTCTGTTTGGAAATGTTTAATGATTGTCCAAATCCTGGACACTTCAGCGAGCGGTCAGCAGCTATGCAGCCTGTGTCCGGTGGGCGGCGGTATAGAGACGCTAAGCTTGTTGTTAAGCGTCGTAGCTAAAGAAGACGCGAGGCGGGGAAGAAGAAAGAAACAGGACGTTGTGTTAAATCTGAGAATGTGCAGATTGCTGAAGATGAATAAACCTCTTTAGTTTCTGTCGCGTCCCAATTATCAGACCGTGTGTCTGCTCGACAAACCGACTGAGAGTGCAGCTGCCGATCCTCCGCTGGGTAAGACTGATAGCCTTCACGATATGGCGACTTTTGTTTACTGCCGGCCAGAGCTAGCTTACTTTAGGTTCGCCAAGCAGCTACTGGTACGGGTAGTGTTTCAGTGAGATCGCTTTCTGTTGAATATACTTATGTTTAGTCTTCTCGCTGTTACCATTAGCGGCTCTTTCAGCCCTTGTTAGCCGGGTAGCAGCAGCTACTCTGGGTTCCGCTCAGAGAAGTGAAGCCCAGTGAGTTTTCGTCCGGTTCAGATGGTAACTGAAAGGCATTCTTCCATTTTACGTTTAAATCTTCTCAGTCTGCCTGTTTTCAGACTATTTATGTAGCTGGCAGATAAAAGTCGAGACACAGCTGTTGGTCTTCATGTTCAGGCCACACGTCTGTGCACAGGAGGGGCTCACAGGGCTGAACTACATCTTTATGTTCAGAATACTGAAAGGTGGAGCTCGGAAGAGTCAAAGTCTTTCAGTTATTTTTAATTTGAAGAGTGGCGCTGCTTTCAAAAAGTTCTGTTTTTGTTGTAATACCTGCACCGATGTTTCTGAATCACGGCATACGCCCTCCATACTTTAATAACGCTCATATAAAAAGACTAATACTAAGGTTGAAACTAGTAGAAATTAAACTAAAGTAACTGAAACGAAACGTTTACAACCAATAAAACTGAAGCGAGCAAGCCCACTCTCCAAATTAAACTGGATTAAAAAGTCCAAATGAAAACTAACTATAAAGTACAACATTATGACTGATCCACAGAATTATAACTCAAAATGACCAGAAGACCTCATAACCTGCCTACACTGAACCAGGGGAGCCCTTTTCCACCTTATGACACAGCATCTGATTCAGTGGTAGAGCAGCGAGTGTCCCACAGCCATCATGTTTGCTTTGTGGTCCTCGCTGCCTCTCTAAAGGGAGAGTTCCACTTACTGGGCCAGTTTTAACCTGTTATTTTAACTAAATTCTCACCAGGTGGGACCTTAAAAATTACCACAAAGGTTCTTGTTGATAATGTCATTTTTATTTTTAATCCTTTTGTACCAGAGCAGGGATCGGGCTAAGGGCGGCAGTATAGCCTCTGTACTGCTCTATCGCTGCCCGTGATTAAGGCGCAGGACGCCTCAGATAATACCACCACATGAGAGCTGATATTGGAAGAGAAGAAGTCGCAACTGGAAGCAAGGACTTTGCAAACTTTTTAAACTGTTCCCCTTTAACTCCTGAGCTGGAATATCATTAAAATGGTAATAAAAACTAACACGATCGTATCTTCAACCCGGCTGCAGTGGCAAAAGTCATGAGGTCGAAGCACCAGGTGATGTCACGTCACGCTCTGTGTACAGTGAGCATAAAAACACCATATCACACAGTCCCACCCATTACCCCTGGAAACGCCCTGTGCCAGAGAAATGCAGAAATGTTCATTTTAAAAAAGTTTTCAATTTCAGTTCAATTCTGTTTTATTTCTAAAACACCAAATCACAACAACAGCTTCGTGTTGTGGGTAAAGACCCAACAGTCACACAAAGGACGTAGTTGCCATCCTGAAAACCACGAGTGAGCCTGCAGCCTGAGAGCAAAGGGCTGTATCAGGCTCATACGGTACTGTCAGGTTTTCAAGTTGAGATCCGCTCTGATCATTCAAGACCTTGTATGTGAGGATCAGGATTTTAAATTCAGCACTGAATTTAACAGGAAGCCAGTATGAGAAGGATGCGCTCCCTTTCTAGTCCCGGTCAGTACTCTTAGTACAGCTTTTTGGATCAGCTGAAGACTTTTCAGATAATAACGAATTACAGTACTCCACCCTGGAAGTAATTAAATCCTATGAGGCAGCATGGTGGTGCACTGTTGCCTCACAGCAGGAACATCCTGGGAACCAGCACCACCATTTCTGTGTGGAGTTTCACAGAATTCCTTTCAGCACCCAGCTGTTTATACTTCTGAAACCTGATTCATCTTGGCTTTATTAAAGCATTCGGTTTCTCTAGAAACGAATGCAACACGCGCTTCACGTTGGAAGTGCCTCTTTGCTGAATAAGGTAATGAAGGAGCCAGTGTAGTTTCGTATCTGTTGTTAAGAGAATCTGATCTAATCTTATTACAGCTGCCACGCAAACACACCCGAGGCACTCGGCTCGGGCTGGAACATTTCTTAACAAATTGATTGTTTGACTGCGATCCCACAAAAAGACTTCCTCAAATCCAAAGTCTTCCAGAGAGGCATGAATTCAATATTTCTGCAGACTTTCTCACTGCTAAGTCGATCAAGCTAATAAGCAGTGGCTGTCTTCACTGTTTCAGGTTCACCAGGCTCTCTGAAGTTTCTCCAGTCATCCACTCATCATGGTGGAGTACTACCAGGTTTTAGGAGTACGGAAGGATGCGTCTGCAGATGACATAAAGAAAGCGTGAGTTGAAGTTTTAAATGTGGTCCTAGCTGAGAACCTGCACAGAGATGCCATCGCCTGCAGTTTTCTCAGGCTGTGTCTGGTTCTTTATTAATAAACTGCTGAAGGAGTTCAAGCTAACAGGTGCAGAGCTGCGTCACATCTGCACCACCTGGGAGCTGAATGAACTATCCTTTGTGAGAAGAGCAATAGTTTCCCTTCTGACATGTGCATGAATAACGTGACGCGTAACATAGCGCTGTGCAGCGTGCTTCGAGGCTTCAGCTGGCACATGGCGGCACATTTCACTTTGAAACCTGGTCAGAAAATTCAGATCAGAAGTGCTCATGTTTTGCTCTTTTACATCTGTACTTTTTCATTGATGGTAAAGCCATGCTTTCATTGTTTTCACTGCAACAGCACCTTTTACTTCTGGTGTGCAGGTACAGAAAGCTGGCCCTGAGGTGGCACCCAGATAAAAACCCAGAGAACAAAGAGGAGGCTGAGAAGAAGTTCAAGGAGTTGTCGGAGGCTTATGAAGTCCTGTCTGATGGTTTGTATCACATCTGTGTGTGACGGTGTGTTTTCATTGAGGTCGACTCAGTGGAAACACACGACTCTGTCTCTTCGGTGATCCTTGTATTTCTGTATTGTATTTATTACTGTTCTCCCACAGTTTGTTTTCAGCTTTTGAAACTTGTCACTTTCCTGTTTTAGCAAACAAGAGGAGTATATATGATCGTTATGGCAAAGAGGGGCTGACGGGGAGCAACGGTGGAAGAGGTAAGCGTCTCTTTTTAAATGCACTTGTAACTTTGTTTGCTAGGTTTGAACACTGGCACGAGATCACATTTACAGCATTTTTACGATGTGATCGCGTTCACTTTAACATTTTCCATGGAGATTGTCAAATCGTGCACAGAGGGATGGAACTTCCAGTTCCCGTTATCAATTCCCTTGCACAGAATAATTCCATGCTGTGTTTCAAATGTTTGTGCATGTTGGAGGTGCTTCCCCTCTTTGTTGTGATCAGTGCTGGGCCCATCACTCAGTCATTACTGCACATATTACACACACTTTTCTTAAAAGCAATGCAGTACACTCCTCATGCACCCTCATCCTTTTGTATAATAAAAATGAATGTCCACGCTGGAGACTGCGTCACTATTTCCCTCCAGCGACACACGAAATCAGCTGATCATAGCGAGAGTGCGAGACCTGATAAGCGGCATCGTTAGGCGGGCAGATTTAACGATTCCAAGGAATTGGAATTATTTTCCGGCTCCGGCCGGATGTACACTTTTAACATCACTTTTGACTGACTCAATGTTTCAGGGGCGCACTTCCACAATGGAGAGCATTTCCATGAACCTTTCACGTTCCGTAACCCAGAAGATGTTTTCAGGGAATTCTTTGGTGCCAGAGACCCGTTTGCAGACTTTTTTGGTAAGACCTCCGTCCAGCTTTGAGCTGCATGTTTGAAGACTTTGGGCCTCCTGCTGTGGTTCTCAGTTATTCTTGCGCTCTGACTCTTTCTCCTCTCAGGTGCAGATCCATTTAGTGATGACTCGTTTTTTGGTAGTGGCCGGCGGCACCAAAGCCGGGCAAGTCGTAGCCGGACAGGTGGCCCTTTTTTGGGGGGCTTTGGTTTCCCAGCCTTCGGTGCCGGCTTCTCCCCTTTTGACCCAGGTAAGCTGTTAGCCAGCGTAAAGCTCCCGCTGCTGCAGAGTGGCTCCAAAACTGTTGGCAGCGTTGATCATTTGCTTAAATGAATTAAACAGATCAACTTTTTACTTTTAGCCTTTGGTTCTTTTGGCTCCATGAGCGCCGTGGGTCATATCGGTCACATGGGTCACATGACAACAATGGGCAGTATGGGAGGAGGCGGCTTCACCTCTTTCTCATCAACCTCTTTTGGAGGAGGAGGAGGAGGAAGCATGGGCAACTTTCGATCTGTGTCTACCTCCACCAAGACCGTCAACGGCAGGAAGATCACTACTAAAAGGTACTGACCTGCCAGATAGCATGTGACAAAATCTTCACATAGCAGTGATGTGCATCGTACGGTTAACGTGTTCTCAGTTATCGTGCACAAATCTTTATTCCATCCTGTGGTGTCATCAGTGAGCTCAGCTTCCGTGTCGCCCAATTCTAAACCAAACAGTCGTGCGAACTTTAATGAGAGATGAACACAAATCATCGCGTCCTGGTGTAGCAACACAGTGAGGCCTTTCAATGCATAACCCATCCGATGCATCACTTGTCAGGGAAGCAGCTGTTTGAGCAGCTTTTCACAGGTTAAAAATGAAGCGAGAGCAGCTGGCCGACACCGATTCTCAGAGGAATTCTGAGGAATTTTAGGAACGTCCTCAGCTGGATGTACTGTATGAAAACTGAATGCTTTTTAATCACAGCTGAGATCAGTCAGATTAGGCTGAAGGTTTCCTGGTATCAGCTTTGCAGACATTGGTTGAGGTTTAGTACGTGGCGATCCTGTAGTAATAGTCTCATCACATGGCAGCCATCTTTGTAATGTCCATGTGTTCCTGGTCTGTGAGCGGGAAGAAGCCCACAGTCTTTATACTTATAGTCACTTTGATGTAAACAAACCGTTCACGTTCTGTAACCCAGAAGATTTCCAGTGTTTCCAGTGCATGTAACCTGTTGTGTGGATGTCCAACAACATAACTGGCTCTATGCTTTCTGAGTTCTGTTCTGGACCCCTTGAGTGGCACGTTTGTCACTGATAGTTGTGAACTGCTGTGGAAATCGTATCAATCAGAAAAAGGTCTAAGCTTTCTGCCACAGGTTTTTCCTGACTGCTATCAGCACCGTGTACGGATGTTTGCATCGCAAAAGCCAGATGATCGGAGATGATATGAATAAATGCTTCATGCTTTCTGCCAGTTTATTACTTACCATTATTTAACATTTTTTGTTTCTTACCTTTCCACAGAGTCACAGTTTAATCAGACGTGGCTTATTGCATTTTGAATCCCTGATGTTTATAAAGTGATGTAAACGTGGTCTGATAGATGATGGATGTTTTTGGACAGTCTTACTGTGAATTTAAAATCGAGACTTGGACCAGTCCTGTACATTTGTGCCTTTAACTCTTCACGGTGTTCCTGTGTGCAGGTTACACTTTCCATACAGGTGCTCACATTCACACAGTTTCTTTTTTTATTGGTTTAAATCAATTCCAACTTCTGCCTGCAAACGACACATCAAATCAGTGCATAGGACAAATGGATGGTTTCATTTCAAACTGAACCAACATGAACATGGGGTGGCTGTAGCAGGCGGTAGAGCCGGTCGTCCACTGATCGGAAGCTTGGTGGTTCGATTCCTGGCAGTCTACATGCCAAATATCCTTGGGCAAGATACTAACCCCAAATGAATGTGTGTGAATGTTAGTTGTGCAAAGCGCTTTGAGTGCTCAGATGAGCAGAAAAGCGCTATATAAGAACCATTTACCATCAAACATTTGTCAAATTGCGACCTCGGAGTGGAAAAGATCCGTTGCTTGAATCGGTGTATAGAAGCAGCCAGAGGTGTTTCCGGTGTAATTTTCAGCACTTTGTTCAGTACAACAGCATCAAGAAGAAAGAGCCAAACACACTTTTGCCATTTAATTTGGAGGGAAGTTTCCAAAAAACCCAGTGTGCAAAAAAACAGCTCTTCTTTTGAAGTGTAGGCAGGAGTTAAGGAGAGTAGGAAGGAAGTAGGAGGTGAGGCTTAGTTAGACTCATGTTTACACCGGCCTAATCATCATCTCAGCAACATCTCAGCAGACTAAACACTGCACCAGCAGACGAGCGGTACGAATGCTGCTCCCATTTACGTGTAAACGGATTTTCACGATTAAGATGGTGTAATGCTCTCTGTTTCTGCAGAATTGTAGAGAACGGTCAGGAGAGAGTTGAGGTGGAAGAGGACGGCCGGCTACGCTCATTAACCATTAATGGCAAAGAGCAGCTGCTGCGACTGGAACACAAGTGAAGACACGCAAACATCCTCCACTGGAGACGTTACCTCAGTACCGCGATCCCAATAAAACTTGAGCTCACAGTGGAATAAACAAAGCAACAAAACAATGTAATAATAGCTGTGTTTCATTAGTTGGTTACTTACGTTGTGCTGTTCCATTCATGTCCTTCCCCTGCTGACTCTCATTTGTTAACCAACACTTTGACTCCAAGGGTTTTCTATGCATTTAGTTGTTGTCTATGAATCGAAGCCGTCCTTTATTTTTGCTCAGGGTGGTGTTATTTTAACGTTTGGGACCACAGTATTGTTTTGATGTTCTTCCCCATTTCAGTACTTTGAGCTTCGCGTCATCCACAACGAGGCGTGACTTTGCTCTTTCATCTGAATCGGGAAAAAAATGATTCTCATTTCGAAACGTGGGTCAGAAGTTTCTATCCCAGCACCCCACGTTTATTGCGTGTCTAACCGATTCTTAATTTATTTATTTTTATTAAAAACACAATGCTGGTAGGATGTGTTTTGCAATTTTATATGTTCTAATACCTGTGTTTCTGTTTATTTAATGATGCATGTATACCTGTTGATGTCAAGTCTTAATGTCAAAGCTTTTGATGGAAGGCGTTCCATAAATGACAAATGAATATGGAAGGAATTTTGTGTACTTTGTAAACCAATAAATCTTGAGTTTCATCCTGTTTTCAGGATGTTGAAATATTCGCTGGCTCTGGCTTTAAGTTTTCAGGGATTTAGATGAACAGCTTCTGTTTCAGTGTCCATCGTGGTTAAAAACTCGTTGGTCTCTTTATTTATTCAGTCTGTGTTGAAATGAATAGTTTCTCAGGTGTATCGGTCAGCAGTATTATAACGATTGTACCACCATGAAATATTTTACAGTAGTTTAATTCCTTGCTTGCAGATTTAGTGATTTACTCGTCGTTACACAGGCCTGGATTACATCACATCTTCGGCCTGAGAACCGAGGAAAAATGAATCTTCCCATTGAACTTTGTGGTTTCCTTCCTCTTTGGAGCTAAAACAGGCCACACATTTAGTCTTAAACCTTAAAGGGGTATTAGTGACCGCAGTGAAAACATCAAGTATTTTAGTATATTCCTACCACATTCTCTCTGAGCTGCCTCACAGTTGACTATTTATTTTATGTTAGAACAAAAATCTAAAACATGTTGGTTGTGCCAAATGACTCTAGTCCCCTAACGAAAGAAGCATACCTGTCTGCTGACGTGATCTGTTTGCACCAGCACCTTCAGGGGAATATCCTTTTCTTTTAACTGGCACATCAGCAGCTGTCCAGAACTGACTTCTTCATCGTGAACATCCTGTGTGACACTGAAAAACATTCAATGCGTTTGTCATTATGCATGCTCAATCCTCCAGGTAAGTAAATCCCAAGAGGTCGATTTTGTCCACCTGGACGTCTTCAGTGGGAGAAACATTTCGTCACTCATCCAGGTGGCTTCTTCGGTCTCAGCTGACTGCAGGTTTCCAACCTTATAACAGTACATTTGCACAACTGGTCCAGCCCACTGAATGAACAATGGGCTGTGAGGTCAGCTCCTGGATCATTAATATGCAAATTGTCATGACCACTGATCAAAGACGGTGAGTAGCATTCACACAGAGTTGGGGAATGGCTGCAATCACAGCATTGTAAGATGGTGACAGATGGACCCTCAGGTACATCTTCCTCGTTTCAGAGATGGTCTTTTCCTTGGCCTCCTTGGTTCCTCACTCAAACCAGCGTTCCTCCCTGTCCAGGATTTGCATATTAATGATCAAGGAACTGACCTCACAGCCTCTTGTTCATTCAACATGCCACATTCACCCAAGCTCTTTCTTCTATAGTTTTAAGTGCTTACTAACATTCGCAGACATTGATACTCTGTTGGATGTATCGCAGAGCAACTTACGGTCAGTATCTTCCCCAAGGATATTTGGCATGCAGACCAAGAGAGCCAGGGATGGAAACGCCAACCCTCGGATCAGTAGATGAGCTGCTCTACCTCCTGAGCTACAGTGTCACTGATGTCAGACAAGAAATTATTCTCTGGATCTGTGTCTTTTTCAAAGCCCAGTACGTTATGGTCTGTTTATCTAAATGATCCCATTTATCATATACAGAATTCCACTGAATGATATTGTTATTGTTGCCAGAGGTGGATGACGTTCTTTCAGACGGTGCCCTATGATTGTTGTGGTCACGTCAGTTCATCATTCCAGTATATGATGGACAACATTGTCCGGTTCCTCCATGCGGCTGATGGATCCATTGAGTTTAATGAATACTTTACAGTTTGTCGTTCAAGTGTGTTGAATTTTTCCCCGTGCTTCCCTGTTTCCTGTCCCCAAATATTATTTTTATGTATTTGTAGCAAAAATGTACATAACTTTGTGTTCAGAGATCTGATTAGTATCGAGGAGTTTGTCAATATCAGCTGTATCACGTTGGCCGTGCTCTGCATTATTTACTGTTAGGACTAACTGGCTTAAGGGTAGATTGCAGAGAAGAGGGCAGCAGTGTGTCAGAGCTCAACCACAGATTGTTTGCTTTCCAGCTGCTCTCAGGTGAAAGAGAAACTCGCTACGCTTGCATCACACAACCAGTTCAACCACCAGTGCAATGAGCTAACTAGGTAGCTCCTTGTGATCCTCCAGCTTCAGGAAATCACATCAACATCTTTTTTTTTTTTTTTT